GAGTGACGCCCGCAAGGTAGCCCGCCTGTCGCGGACGTGTCGCGGACGTGTCGCGGACGTGTCGTGGGTGTGTCGTGTGGTGGACGTGTCGTGCCCGCCTTTGGCACGCGCGACCAGCCGCCAGGTGACGGGACCGCGTGGTCCGCTCGGCCGAAGCGCGTGTCGAGCATCACCACCTTGGTTAAGAATGAATGAGTCAGCACGAGCAGTGACTCCTGTGTGTCGAAGCATCACCACCTTGAGCTGCCGGGGCGGCTCGCCGAGCGTGCGGCTGCCGTAGAGGCCTCCTCTCTGGGTGCGCCGCGCCGAGTCGGCGGGCGCGCCGACAACCTCGTCGAGGAAGAGCTGCCGCGCGTCCTCCTTCAGCTCCCAGCCAACGCCGCCGTCGTTCAGCCCGTAGTCGTGATCGTCGTATACGCCGTCGACCGGCACGCCGCGCAGCGCCGGCTCGCCCGCCTGCGCGTACGCCTCACGCAGCTGCGCGGCAGATGTCACCGACCCTTTCGGGTACATGGCATCGCCCAGCCACAGCCACAGCGCCGGCGACTGCGCGGCGACGGCGTCCCACACAGGCTGAGGCTTGAGCTGCTTCCGGCAAGAGCCGAACGCCACGCGCAGTGGTGCGCCGACGTGCAGTAGAAGGGTCGGGCTGATGGCGGAGGCAAGGGTGAGGCAGGAGAGTACGGCCGTGCCGGCGCCGTGCATGGGCCGACGCGGGAGTGGTCTTTTCTTTTCCCTTTTCTTTAGTACATTTTCTCCAAGTAAGCTAAAAGTACGTACCGTAGGAGGACTCTGCTGACAGGGTTTGCGATGAGGCGCGACCCGAAGGGTTTCTCGGAGGTTAGTGCACCACTAACCGCCGAATATACCTACAAACTAACCGCCGAAGCGCAACCTTTCTCTTTTCGTTTATGGTCACACATGTGCATGCACATGTGCATGTGCCCATAGTGTGTTTCTCTGCTTCCCGGCCGTTTCTTTAATTCTCTGCTTCCTCTGCTCGCCCCGCTCTCCCACCAAGCCAAAGCCGACGGCAGACTCTGCTGCGCTCGCAAACGCGCGAGCTCTCGCCGCCAAGTTCGCGGCGTCAAAAGTGGCTGCGGCTCAAACTGCACCCGCCGCTGCACCTTCTGCACCCGCCGCTGCACCTTCTGCACCCGCCGCTGCGCCTCCTGCACCCGCCGCTGCGCCTCCTGCACCCGCCGCTGCGCCTTCTGCACCCGCCGCTGCGCCTTCTGCACCCGCCGCTGCGCCTTCTGCACCCGCCGCTGCGCCTTCTGCACCCGCCGCTGCGCCTTCTGCACCCGCCGGCAGCGACGACGACGACGACGACAGGGATCTCAGCTCGTACGACCTTTCTGCGGGCGGCGGCGGCAGCCGCGATGGGAGCCCTTGCCACCCGGCTAAGCCTGCCGAGGCGCCGGCCGGGTGGCCCGAGGTGGGCGAGCGAGTGCGGGCGCGCTATTCGGCACACAGCGTCACCTTCCGGCCCGCGAGGGTGGTGGCGCTCGACGCTCGCGCCGGGACGGTCGCGCTGCGGTTCGAGGGCTGGGGCGACGTGGTGGACACGCCGCTCGGCCGTGTGGAGCCCCTCTCGGGTGGCGCCTTCGCAAGAGGCGCGCGCCCTCCACCTGCCAGCCCTCCGCCGGTTAGGGAGATGGCGACGGCCCTGGCGCCGCTCGCTCCTCTGGAGGAGCTTCAGGTTCGCCTGTTAGGGACCT